CGGCCCCGCGCGGCCCAGCGCCGCCTCCCGCCCCCCTCAGCCCCGCGGCCCTGCACTCACGGTTGGCGATGTCCCCCCCCATCTTGTACTTGGTCACCACCAGGTCCTCGGCGATGGTCAGCTCGGCCGCCTCCTCCTCTCCCGACATGGTCGGAGCCCCGCGCCCGCCGCCGCCGCCGCCGCTGCCGCCCCCCCGCCGCCGCCGCCGCGCTGAGAACCCGGGGAGCGCGAGCGAGAGAGCGCGAGCAGAGCAGGAGCGCGGGCTCCGCGCGGGGCACGCTGGGAAGCCGAGTCCCCTCCCCCTCGGACTCCAGCTCCCGGCAGCGCGCGCGGCCCGGCCCCGCCGCGGACTCCAGCTCCCGGCAGGCGGCGCGGCTCTCGCGAGAGATAGAACCGGAAGTAAGGCCGGAAGCGGTGTGGGATGGCGGAAGTGAAGGGTGTAGCGGGCGGTGCTCTGCCTCGTGCCCGTCGCTGCCCCGCGGCGCGGCAGCCCCCGGCAGCCCCTTCCTCTTCGCCTTTGCCCCCCCGCTCCGCCCGGGGCTGCCCGCAGATCCCGGCCCATCCCCTGCCCATCCCTCCTCCGTCACACATCAGCAGCCGCAGCCCGTTCTATTCCAACCGTATTTATTCCACGTTTACAGACGAGACCCGACTCGGCCCCTGGGAGCGGGGAGATGCTCGGAGTGCAGTGGAAGGGCCTCTGCGGGGCCCGCGGGCACGGCCCAGTCCTGACCCACGGGTCCCTCGGGGGGCCGGGTAGCCGTGCAGCGTGGGCACGCTGCCCAGCCTGCAGTCAGGAGTTACCCTCAATCCACCCCCTGCAGGAAGCAAAGAAACGCAGGGCCTCCCGCCCACGGCAGCCGGGAGGACCCCAACCCCACAGGTAGCCCCCCCCCCAGCCCAAAAGCAAGGACCGAGACCCCAGCCAGGGCCTGCTGCTGCAGTCCTGCACATGGGGAGCACCGCGGGGAGGGGGAATGCTGGGAATACCGCTGGAGCATGGCAGTGGAGAGGAGAGGGGTCCAAGCCCCCCTCAATGGGGCCTGGAGGGTTTGGGATCAGCCCCACACCCAGGCAGGGCTGCCCCCCCCCAAATCCCATGTCTTCATGTCCCCCATGGATCTTTGTCTTGTGTCCTCCATCCAGCACCAGTGTGGGGGGGGATGATCCTTCATATCCAGTGTAAACAGCTGGGGGGGCAGAGGGTCCCTACGTCCGCTGGGCGTCCATCTTCGTGAAGAGGCGGCTGTGCCAGTAGTCGGGGTTGTCGAAGGCACAGTCCGAGGCCTCCAGGCTGCGCAGGGGCTTCATGCAGGCTGGGGGGGGTCCGGGGGGGCTGCGGCAGCCAGGGCAGGGAGGGCCACGGGGGGCCAGCACCGCCTCCATCTCCTCGTAGCCCTGCTCCTCAGGTGGGGCCGGGGCGGGCTCCCCAGGACGCATGTCGGTGTAGCCGTCATGTCGGGGGGGGCAGCCCTCATGCCGGGGGCCCGGCCCCCCCACCACGTTGCCCAGCGAGCGGCTCAGCCGCGGCTGCTTGTTCATGTACTCATAGTCCTCCTCCTCCTCCCCACGGCCCGGGGAGGGCCCTACGGGGCTGCCCAGCTCTGAGCCCACCTCCATGTATTCGTAGCCCAGCTCCTCCAGCGAGGCTGGCCGAGGTGGGGGGGCTTGTAGAGAGGCCCCAGGCTGCCGGTTCATGTACTCGTACTCCTCCTCCAGCTCCGGTGCTGAGCCCCCCGTGGGCTCTGGTTCTGCAGAGTGGAAGTCAGACAGTGGCTGTGCCCCCACAGATCTACCCACGGGACTGGGGCTGAGTCCCAGGGGGCTCAGCTGTGCATGGGGAGGGGTTTGGGGAAGGGGTTTGAGGAAGGGACCACCCAGCCCTCCCTCCAAATGTTGAGTCCTCCAACCCCAACCCTGCAAAGATGGAACCCCAAACTCAATTCTGGGGCTGAAACTCCCAATCTATAGGAGTCCCCCAGCACCCTGCAAGAAGAGACCCCCACCCACAGCCCAAACCCTGCTGGGAAGGAACCCCCCACAATAGGGAATGGGACCCCCAAGCTGGGACCCTCACCCCGTCCGGCGCAGCTGGGTGTGACGTAGCCATTGGCATCCTCCTCACTGCCCTCTGAGCTGGGGGGCGGGGGGGGGAAGCTCTCCCTCTGGGACAGGTACGCGCTGTCCCCCCGTGAGCGCAGGCTGCGGCAGAGGCTGCCCGACAGCGACAGCCCCTCGGCCAGGTCCAGCTCTGAGGCCGTGCCCCGGCCCTCCGATGACTCCGACACCGTCCGCCCCACAGATTCCTGGCGGCTGCGGCGCGGTGGACGCGTCCCAGTGCCCTGTGGGACATGACAGTGGTTGGGGGGGGAGAGGGGGGAGTGGTCCGTTACCACCCCCTCAGTGCCAGCGCTTCGGCCTCAGAGCTCCAGCACCCACAGACCCCCCTCACCCCTGAGCCCAACCCCCCAGTGCAATGAAATAAAATGAATTGAAATGCAATGAAATCCGCTGCAATGCAATGGAACGCAATGCAGCCCAAACCCTTTGCTCTTCTAGATGCTCCTCTTCTCCCTCCCACCCCTGCTCCAGGTACCTGGCGGCTGCTGAGGCCGGGCTGGTTCATGGGGATGTATCCAGCTGGAGGGCTCAGCAGGCTGGGACTCTGGGGGGGAACACGGGGGGGTTGGCACAAAGCGGGGCACCCCATCCCACAGTGGTAATGGGACTGGGGTCCCCACTGGGGTGATGGCTTAGGGTTAGCGTCAGCTCTGCCCCCCCAGGGGGAGCTGGGATCTGGGGGAGCCATCTGGGGGACTCCAGCCCCACGCTCTGCCCATAGCACGTCACAGGAGTCCATGCCCAGGATGCAGCCAGACCACATCAGGGGCCCCAGGGGGGCGGGGGGGCTCACCCGAGTGCAGCTGCCCCGTGGCCGAGGGGGGCAGAGGCCAAAGGACACATCCAGCTCCTCCTCCTCCAGCTCCAGTGTCTCCATCTCATCCAGCTCTTTGTCGCTCAGGGTGGGGGGCTCAGCGGGCGGCACAGCCCCACTCTCCTGCTGTGGGGATGGGCACATGAGGGGCTGCAGGATCCCGGCCCGGGGGGAGGGGGGGGCGAGGGGGGGCTCTCACCCACCTTGATGACCAGGTAGCGGGGGGGGTCACGCGCCATGCGGGTGAACTCGTTGGCCAGCTCCTTGAAGGTGGGGCGGATGTTCTCATCGATCATCCAGCCTGGGAGCAACCAGAGAGGGTCGTGGCAGGGTGGGGGCCACGGGCAGGACCCCCCCCCTTGCCAAGACAGTGCCCCCCACTCACATTTCACCATCACCATGTAGACGTCGATGGTGCAGATGTGGGGCTGCGGGAGCCGCTCGCCCTTCTCCAGCAGGTCAGGAACTTCTGGCAAGCGGATCCCGGCGTACGGCTCAGCCCCAAAGGTCATCATCTCCCACAGCGTCACTCCTGGGGGGCAGCAATGTGAGCACAGGGTTGTGGGGGAGGGCAGATGGGGTGCCGGGGGGGGCTGCACTCACCATAGCTCCACACGTCGCTCTGGTGTGTGTACTTCCCAAAATGGATGCTCTCCAGTGCCATCCACTTAATGGGTGTCTGAAAGGACAGAGGGGGTTGGGGGTGTGATGGACTAGGGGGCACGGGGGCAGACCTGGGGGGGGGGGGGGGTGGGGGATATGGGGATGGATCAGGGAGTGGGGGGTGAGGAGTTGGGGGGCATGGGGATAGAGCTGGGGGGGTGAGTTAGGGGCTGGAAGACATGGGGACTGACCCAGTGGGGGAGAGGGGGAGGGGCTGGGGTACAGGGACAGATTTGGGGCTGGGGGGGGGCTGGGGGGCGTTGGGACAGACCTGGGGATGGAGGGAACGTGCAGAGCAGGGGCTCATAGCACACAGGTACTGGGAACATCCAGATGGGAACAGCTCTATGGGATGGGATTTGGGGGGCACACGCAGAGTGGGGGGGGGACCCGCGGCACAGGGTTTGGGGACACAGAATCACAGCAATGCGGGGTCCCACCTTGACCTCGTTGTAGAAGTACTTCTTGTCATCAGGGTAGAGCAGATCAGCAATGCCAAAGTCGGCCACCTGCGCCTGGCTGGGCGACTTGAGCAGCACATTGCGCGCCGCCAGGTTGCGGTGCACCATGCGGTGCTCCTCCAGGTAATACATCCCCTGCGTGCGGGGCGGGGGTCAGCGCGGCAGGGTGGGGGGGTGATGGGAGGACCCTCCCACCCCCCCTGCCCGCAGCCCAGCGCTCACCTTGGCCACCTGCACACACCAGTTGAGCAGCAGCTGCGGGCTGATGCTGCCGCGGTTCTTGCGCACGTAGTCGAGCAGTGAACCCAGCGGCAGCAGCTGCGTCACCAACTGCAGCTGGGGGCCGGGGCAGATGCCCAGCAGCCGTACGATGTAAGCGTGGTCCAGGCTGCCAATGGCCAACATGTGCTGGGGGGGGGAAGGGGGAGCTCAGCTATCAGAGTCAGGAGAGCGGTGGGCAGCTGGGAGGGGGCACGGTGCCGGACTTACGTCGGTGACAGCATGAAAGGACTGCTGCCCGCTCCAGTCCTGGATCACCTTGATGCTCACTGGGATCTTGATGGAGTCACCATCTGGGATCCAGATGCCCTATGGGGTGGGATGGGGAGGGGGATGAGATGGGGGTGGGATGTGAGTGCTCTGCCGGCTCCACTGACCCCCACACCACCACCGACCCCCCTCACCTTGTGCACGGTGCCAAACACCCCCGAGCCCAACACCTTCAGCCGCTTCAGCTCCGTCTCCTTGAAGATGCGAGCCAGCACCTTGTTGGCCTTCTCACTGGGGTCCAGCGGCTCCAGGCTCTGCGGGGGGAGTGGGGACAGAGATGGGGACGGAGAGAAGGAGGATGGGGAAAAATGGAGTGGAAGCAGACAGGGATGAGGATGGATGGGGACGGATGGAGCAGCGGACACAGATGGGTGCAGGAGGGGATGGGTGGAGGTGGGCACCCCCTGCCCGCCGGATCCCCCCGCTCACCTCCCCCCGCTCCAGGTAGCGCCGCATCGCCCGCTTCTTCTGGATCTTCTTGCCACGCCAATAGAGCAGGGAGAGCAGGACGCAGGAGCAGGAGAGGAAGAGCCCCCCCACCACCAGCACTGCGATCACTGTGGGGGCTCTCCTGGGTGGGGGGACAGGGTTCAGCTCAGGTGCCATCCGCCCCATGCATTGCCCACGGCTGTGCCCCACAGCAGGGAGACAGCATGGCCGGGGGGGGCACATACAGACAGGGAACGCATACAGAAGTGGCACAGCATGGCACAACGAGGCCAAGGGACCCCATAAGCCCCCTAGAGACCCCATACCTGGCACTGGGCAGTGCATCCCCCAGGCAGTCCCGCAGCAATGGCCCTGTGCACCTGGGGTGGGGGGGAGGAGCAGAGGGGGGTGAGCCGTGCGCCACACACAGCCCCCTATTGCTCTGACTGCTTCCCATTCTCCTCCATTCCCCCCATTTCTCCCCATTTCCCCCACCGCATCCCATTCTCCTCCATTCCCCCCCATTTCTTCCCATTCCCCTCCACTGCCTCCATTTCCTCCCACTGCCCCCATTCCCCCCATTGACCCCACACACCCACGGGTGCAGTTCTCATGGCAGGGCCGGCACTCCTGGCTGCTGTCTGGGTATTTGTAGATGGGGCCGCGCTCGCCCAGGATGCCTTCGGGGCAGCGCTCCACACAGTGGGGTCCATCACGATAATGGGCGCAGCGGGTGCAGGTGTCAGCGCCCTATAGGGCAGGGGGCGTTGAGCACCCAGGGGGTGTCCCTGCTGTCCCCCCCCTCCCCCTCTGTGCCGTACTGAGCCGTTGCAGGTGATGCCGCCCTCCACGCGCTCGCACTCCGGGTGGCACTCGAAGCATTCCGTCCCTTCGGCGAACTCCCGCGTCTCACTGTGGGATGGGGTGGGGGTCAGCACTGAGAAGCCCCCAGGGGACGGCCCACCCTGATGGTCGCTATGGGGTCTGTCCCACCCAATGCTTCTTATGGGGTCCGTCACACCCCAGTGCCACCCATGGGGTCCATCCAAACCCAATGCCCTTCATTGGGTTGATCCCACTCCAGTCCCCCCAAGGTATCCATCCCACTCTGATGCCCTTCACAGAATCAGTCCCACCCTGATGCCCCCCATGGGGTCCACCACATCCCTGTGCTCTCCACAAACTCCATCTGATCCCAATACCCCCTATGGCCTCCATCACACCCTGATGCCCCCCATGGGCTCTGTCCAATCCCAATGACCCCCTATGGCCTCCATCACACCCCAGTGCCCCCCATGGAATCCATCACACCCCAGTGCCCCCTATGGCCTCCATCACACCCCAATGCCCCCTACAGGGTCCATCACACCCACCACCCCTACGGGTCCCCCATCCCCCCTCACCCCTGGGTGAAGCTGCAGGACTCCACGCAGACCCCACGGCGGCTGTAGTGCCTGCAGGACAGGCACTGCGCAGGGCCGGGCCCCCAGCAGCCATCAGCAGAGCACAGCGGGTCGCACACCTTCCCCTCTTGCTCTGCAGGAACGGGGGTGGGGAGAAGGGGGTCAGCACGCGGCCCCCAGCCCCTCATCCCACCCCAGCCTGCCCCCCCAGCCCCCCACTCACGGCATTTGCCACGCGGTTTGTTGTTGCGGATGTCGAGGTCGGCGCGGCGCCGGGACAGCGCTGCCCACTGCACCGTGTGCAGGTAGCACAGCCGGCGGTTCTCCGTGATGTAAACCCGTCCTGCGCTCACCTCCCGCAGCGAGCGCAGCCCCAGAGACGTCACGTTGTCGTTTTTCATGATGAGAAGGGAGAAACCCCGGCTGGGGGGGGGCAGGAGAGGTCAGGGGGAGGGATGGTGAAGGGGATGGA